TAAAAGAAGAAGGGAAGAAGGGAAGAAGGGAAGAAGGGAAGAAGTGAAGAGGGAGGGGGGAGGGGGAGGGGGGGGAGGGGGAGGGGGAGGGAAAGGGAGAGGGAGAGGGAGAGGGGTCTTCCATCCTCTGGTTCGCTCCCCAAATAGCCACCAAGGCCAGAGTTTGACCAATCCGAAGCCAGGAGCCAGGAGTCTCCTCCGGGTCTCCCACTGGGTGCAGGGGCCCAAGCACTTGGGCCAACTTCTGCTGCTTTCCCAGGTTATAAGCAGAGAGCTGGATTGGAAGCGAAGCAGCTGGGACTTGAACCGGCACCCACATAGGATGCCAGTATGGCAGGTGGGGGCTTTACCCACTACACCACAGTGCTGGCCCCAATCTCTGTCACTCTGCCTTTCAAACAAACAAATATATCTTAGAAAAAGAAAAAAAAAAGGTGATAGATTGACATTAATATCGCAGCTGTGCTATTGCCCTGTTCTGCAAACATTACCTTTGGGATGTGTACTCCGGGATCCCTAATACTTCTTACACCTGCTTGCGAATCTACAAATTTTTTCAATACAAACTGCAGTTTAAAAAAAAAAAGGCTATCATTTTTTCAATAGGAATGGCATTGTTGCCTAATTTTCTAATTGTCTGAACAAAGTGGGAAAAAGCCTTTCTTCATTAGTCAGAACATTTCCTAAACATGAAGTTTTTCTCCTCAGGTTCAAAGATTTTACGCTACCCTAAGTGGGCAGCATTTCTTTCTTTTTTTTTTTTTTTTACTGGATTGCTCTTAATTAGTTTGAACACGTAAGCGTTTAAGCCTGGACTCAAGCAGGTGACGACAGTAGACTTTTCCAGCACTTCGCCTGTTAACTCCAGTTGCAGGCGCTTGCTTGCCGTCAAAGCAGCTCTTGACTGCTGAGGGGGTTATTGTCGAATTGCCAAACTTTGTCCACGTTTTCGCCCAGTACTCTTGGTCCCATGAGGGCTGCCGGTCACAGACAGACAGAGAGCACCAAGACACTCGTTTCTGGCACTGAAGGGTTAAAAAGTTAAAAGCCGCTTCCCCCCCAACCTCCTCTGGTGAACTTTCCTGACCTTGTTAGATTTGCTCTGCATAGCCATTAGTCAGTAAATTACCCCAATGTGAGCGTAACCTCAGTTTCACCTAAGTGAGATAGAAGAAGTCACCATATATCTCTGCCTCCTGGACCCCTGACTCCACCATGTGTCCCTTATCGCCATTCGGCTGCATTCCTAGGTACCACTCCCTGTATTCATAAATCAACTGGTTGTAAAATCACTTAACTTGTATCAATTGTTTACTCTATACCACTGTCTGCTCTATGCAATGATTGATTTTCTTTGTTTCAATGTGTATAAAAACCCCAACCCAAGACTATTCGAGGCCGCTCGCCTGTACTGGGACGGGGGCCCCGACATGTCGGAACATCAATAAACTTTACCCTTTGTTAATTACATGAGAGAAGGTCTCTTGGAGCGTTTTTGGGGTGGCAAGAGCAATTCAACTCTAATTCGACTGTAACATATGGAGGTCCCACCGAGATGGCTCTGCTGCCCACGGACGTCTCCAACGGACATCTCTCGGGGTAAGTAAAGGCGCCTAAAGGATAGGGACTCTGTGCACGTGCATTTCTGTTTCTGTATCTGGTTCAGGCCTGAAGCGGTTTCGGGCTGGCACGGTAGACGTTGGGTGGCAGACGTGCCTGGAAGCCACAACGCTACAGCCTCGAGGGACGCCTCGGGAGGACCGGGAGACTGAGGACGCTCAGCGAAACTCCCATCTGGAATTCCCGCGGTCGGGAATTCGGTGCCAGCATCAGTATTCACCCTTTGTCTTTCAGGTTTTACTTCTATTGCATAAACTGTTTTCAGACTCACATTTTGTGTTGCCGGCATTGTCACAGGACTCTGATGTGGTTCCGGAGTCTGTGTTTGTCTGTTTGTGTGTGGCATTGTCGCGAGACTCTGAAGTGGTCCCGGAGTCTGCATTTGTAGGTTCTGATGTGGTTCCGGAACTTGCATTTGTATTGTCGGCATTGTCACAGGACTCTGATGTGGTTCCGGAGTCTGTGTTTGTCTGTTTGTGTGTGGCATAGTCGCGAGACTCTGATGTGGTCCCGGAGTCTGCATTTGTAGGTTCTGATGTGGTTCCGGAACTTGCATTTGTATTGTTGGCATTGTCACAGGACTCTGATGTGGTTCCGGAGTCTGTGTTTGTCTGTTTGTGTGTGGCATTGTCGCGAGACTCTGAAGTGGTCCCGGAGTCTGCATTTGTAGGTTCTGATGTGGTTCTGGAACTTGCATTTGTATTGTCGGCATTGTCACAGGACTCTGATGTGGTTCCGGAGTCTGTGTTTGTCTGTTTGTGTGTGGCATAGTCGCGAGACTCTGATGTGGTCCCGGAGTCTGCATTTGTAGGTTCTGATGTGGTTCCGGAACTTGCATTTGTATTGTTGGCATTGTCACAGGACTCTGATGTGGTTCCGGAGTCTGTGTTTGTCTGTTTGTGTGTGGCATAGTCGCGAGACTCTGATGTGGTCCCGGAGTCTGCATTTGTAGGTTCTGATGTGGTTCCGGAACTTGCATTTGTGTTGCCGGCATTGTCACAGGACTCTGATGTGGTTCCGGAGTCTGTGTTTGTCTGTTTGTGTGTGGCATAGTCGCGAGACTCTGAAGTGGTCCCGGAGTCTGCATTTGTAGGTTCTGATGTGGTTCCGGAACTTGCATTTGTATTGTCGGCATTGTCACAGGACTCTGATGTGGTTCCGGAGTCTGTGTTTGTCTGTTTGTGTGTGGCATAGTCGCGAGACTCTGAAGTGGTCCCAGAGTCTGCATTTGTAGGTTCTGAAGTGGTTCCGGAACTTGCATTCGTATCTGTGTCTGTGTGTCAGTGTGGTTCTCGGATCCCATCTGGGACTCTGTAGGGGGGCAGGCTCCCCACCTCTGTAGGAACGAAGTGGTCGCTCCCGCAGGCGTGAGGCCGATGTTCCATTTTTGTCTTTTTTGTTTTGTTCAGTGCCTTTTTGTGAGTCTCTTTGGTGTTTGTTTTTGGCTATTTGTATTTACCTTTCTGAAATTCAGACAATGGGACGGATTTAGACAACTCTTAGAAAGGGAGACTAACCACCCTTTGTTCTGCAGATTGGCCTACCTTTAAAGTAGGATGGGCGCCTAAGGGCACCCTTGACATCCTGGTCTGGCAAGATCTGGTAAAAACTCCCTTTCCTGGTTAAAGCCTCTTTTACTCCCTCAGAAACAACCTTCAAAAAACAGATTTTAGTCGTCCAGGACCGTCCCAGCAAAGCAGATAAAACAAACTAAGACTTCAGCCTCGGTGCCGCTCTATTCTGTTTTACAGGGCGACTCTGAAGATTTGATTTTCCCTCCTCCCTACCAGCCGCCCGGCCCTGGCTGCGGGGCCGGCAGCGGGGGCCACAGGAGAGGCTAAGAGAAACAGCTCCCCAGGGGCCAGCAGATCCCTCCACTTTCCCTTCACAGGCAGCAGGGAAACCCCTGCTGTGCCATTAGCAAGTGCTGAAACCCCCTGTGTGTTCAAACAAAGCTGGCCCTTTGAGCCTCAACCTGCAGGACTCAGCTGGGGCCCAGGAATGGCAGGCGGAGGATGGGAAGGCGCGCCTCCTGACTTATTCCTCAGGATCCTAACTCCCCGAGCCATACCCGTCCCCCCAGACTGACTCCCCATGGCCGACCAAATGGGGCAAATGGATGGATCTCCTGGACTTCAGGACCCGGTAAGTCACCCTGGGGCACTCAGTACTCAGGCCCGCCTTTGTGTGGAAGGGGGGGCTTCTGTTGCCCCTCTACCAGGGACCTGCCTGGTGTCTGCAATGGAAAAGAGCGTGTGTGTGGTGTAAATGTGTTTGTGGCTCCACGGCCCTGCAGCTACAGAGTCTAAATGGGCCGTAACCTGCAGCTCCGTGTTCACCAGGCGGGCGAAGCAATCTCACTCCGGATCAGTGCCTGTTCCGGAGGTCTTTATCTCTTGTTTTGTACAACCAAGGGGGACACATTATGGAAAAATTCCATTCAAAACCAACTGTTCTAAACTGTATAATAAAAACTTTAAAAATATTGTCTTAATTTAAAAATTCTTAACAGGTTATTCCAAAATGTAAATGAGTTTTTATCAGCTCTTTTCTGTGCTGCTGTCCCTGACTTATCTGATGAGAGTGTTCACCTGTCTTGAAGGTTTCATGTTTTTCTATTTGTAGTACTGAGACTACGTTGTTTATCTGTTTTTAATGTTTGAGTGATTACCCAACTGATGAAAAATGTACTAATTTTGGCTAAATGGTTTGACTCTGACAGCTTAAATTCTAAATCGAGTCTTCCAACTTTGGGCTTCCAGTCGGATCCCTGGAACTCTCAAAGGATGAGACTCTGAGTTTATTAAAGTAACAGCTGCTTGAGTCAATTCAGATTATATAAAATATATTAAAATGTTATAAATAGTGTCAGACCTATGCTGTATTCATGTTTTTGCTTTCCAGCTAAAATGGTCTTATAAAAATAAGAATAAATTCTATGTATACAAGCCTTTATGTTATTAACTAAAGTAAGCCAATGCAGATTGGTTCAGAAAATTGAGATAATACAAATGCCCTTCGGTTTGCTCAGTGGCTTGCTTGCTCAGTTTTACATGTCTTTGATGTGCTTTAAACTTGTTTCTTTTAATGATAAAGATCTTTTCAAAGTTGTAACCATGCACTAGTGACCATGTTTGCTGCTCAGGAGGTGTTGTCCTTATATTACTTAAAAGCATGGAAATGTAATTTTGACTTCTATTTCAGATACTGGTATGGTATTCATTAATAATTCTGTGTCTTAAGTCATCTAGCATCAGTACTAAGTAAAACTTAGAAGAGTGTATTATGTATACTTTTAACATCTCAAATTCGATAAGAGAGACTGTTTGAGTCTTGTTAGCATGTATTCTCATAGGTTGTCCACACATGACAATTCAAGGCTATATAAAAGTAACTACGGGTGTAAAGTTTCCAAAAGTGTAAACAAGTCATAAAAAGTTTTAAAATGTTTAAAAATGGTCTAAATCATAAATCTTAAAATCTGTTTTCACAAAAACTGTAATGTCTATTTTAACAGTGTCTGCTTAATCGGCTACCCTGCCATTTCTAAAATTAGGTCCTGTAAGCTCTTTTTGACTCTGTTAAATTATTCTGAGTTATATGATAATTGTGTACTAACTCTAATGTTCAGGGTTTTTATTTCTGGCTTACTCGACAACAAGAGGGATAAAATTCATGATCTGGCTAAGTAATTTATTGTGTAACAACCAGGCATTACTAATTCAAATATAGATAAAAAGTGTGCCAAAAGAGACTTAGAGACGACGGGAGATGGTTATGTGGCAAATGCTGTGAAAACCCAGAAACCCAGGCCCATAACCCACTGGCTACACGGTAAATATCTGGAGGCCAAAGGATGGCAGAGACCTCTGCCACAATTTCTCCTCTAAGTCAGGCTACGCAGTAAGCACTGGTTAAACGCTGGTTAAATCTGAAAGCCCAGGAAGTCAGGCTAGAGACCTGACTCACTGCCTCACTTCTCCTCTTTTCTTTTCCAGAAGGGAAGTTACCACTGTTCTGCAGGACTCTCTACAGTAATATACAGTTTGACCCCCAGACCTTATGTAAGGGATGACTGACCATTTCTATAATAATGCCTAGTCACAGTATAGAGGACCAAACAGCATAGCCAAAATAAGAGGTTAAAATGTGACAGCTAGATCGATTTTTTGGTGTACGCGGTAAATGGGCAGAACTTCCCTTTTAAACCAAATTGAGGGATAGATAGGAAGTTGTACTGATGACCTCAAAGTATGCAAGCAGGTCACCACAATTGATCTTACCTAAAAGATCATAGTTCTCCTCATGGGCACGGTCTTAACTCGCAGGAAAATACTAAGTGTCAGAATTTGCCCATGACCATAGTTTTTTAGCTCACCCTGATATTAAAAAAAAAAAAACTCCAAAAATCAGGGACGGGGTTGAGCACCCCCTTGACTGACATCATAAAGGCTGCCTCCTTGGTCCACTTTATTAGAGACCAGGAAATTGAGGAGCAAGCTAGCAGCAGGAGCGATGTAAAGATGGGCAACAGGCCAATCAGTGGCTGCTTTACACGGTGATCCACTGTCAAGGAAACCCAGCAAAGCCAATGCACCCCAAATGGCACCTGTTGCTGACATAAGGAGCCAGGGCATTGGGCAAGCAGCTGTTGTAACAGCGACTGCCTTCTGTCAGCTCTGCCAAGAGCAAGGCTACTGGACATGGAACTGCCCTGGGTGTCGAAGGACTCCTGGTTCAGAACCGCAGACCCTGTGGCCCCGAGCTAAAAAGCCTTTGGCTCTGCCCAGCTTCCAGCTCCAGCCACTGCTATTGGGGATGGCCTAGGGTCAGTAAAATACAAGTTGCCTATTTCTATCAGCCTCCTATTCAGCTCTCCTCCTAGTCCAGCCAGGTAATGCAAGTCAACAGGGTGCCTCCCTTAAGGGAGATTTGCATCTCTTACAATTCTCTTAATAGCACCCCATGGATAGGTCTGGGCCTTACACACCCAGCCAGGCCTTAAAAATAAACTTAAAAAGCCCTCCCTGCCAGTTCCAGGGGAAAGTGGTCCCCTCCACTCCTGTACTGAGACTATAGACTTGATCTATGCCAGCAGAAGGGACCCAAGAGACAGTCCCCTGACTAACACAGATGAAGTTTGGTTCATAGATGGAAGCAGCTTTGTCAGACTGGACCTGCTTCTCAGGGTATGCAACAGTTACAGCATGCTCTGCCCCCAGGAACTTTTGCTCATTTAGCAGAACTGATTGCCTTAACCAGAGCTCTAAATCACACAAGGGATTTGTAAGGCACCTTCACTCTGCATGGAGACCTCAGTCTTCCGGTAAGGCAGAAAGAGCCAACCAGGCTCTATAAAAAACATCACAAGGATAGAAATATGTACTTGGTAAGTAAGGTTTAGAAAAAAAGAGTGTTCTTGGTAAAAAGGGTTAAAAAAAAAAAGAGCTTTTTAAATAAAAAAAAAACATGGTTTGTAAAAATCCTGATGGCTAGTTTACTCTAGACTGGAATGGAAATAATAGAATGTTTCAAGTAAGTTAAAGAGAGTGTGTGAAGTCACAAAAGGTTATAAAAAAAAAAAAATTAAACATGCTAACTACTGCTCCAGGAGCTATTTATGCCATGTTCCAGAAAAAATGTTGTCTCTGGGTCAATCAGACTAGACAAGTACAAATCCAAATTTTCCTGGAAAAAGCCAAACAGCTCCAGGACCAGGCAAAGCAGGGCTGGGATTTCTGGCCTGATATCTGGTCACGGAAATCCTGGCTGTTTCCTCTCCTTGGCCCAATAACTTCTGCAATCTTGATGCTTCTCTTTGCACTGTGTGTTTTTAATGCCCTTGTTCGTTTTGTCTCTAACAGACTAAAAGCTGTTAAACTCCAAATGGTCATCAGGCAAGGCTTCCAGCCCATTCCACTGGACGACCTGAACAGCCCTCTGGACCGAGCGGCACCGTCTTTCCAAGGCCACTGTTGCACACCATAAGACAGGTAGCAAGAGGAAATACCCAAACCCCCTCGACGCCCACATGCCAGCTTCGAAGAAGTTACAGAAAACGGAACTCCATCCATAATCCCAAAGAAGAATTTTGGGTATTACCTCTTGAGGGGAAAATACTAGGCAGAAAGTCAGTTATGAGCTTATGTGTGTGTGACATAAAGGCCTAATGTGTCCAGCATATGCATCTGCACCTCAGTCATCCTGACAATGTTTCACTGGAAGCCTGGCCTTTGCATCCTGCCCTGCCCCCTTCTACCTGATAACCTGCCAGGTGGAGATCCCCACCCCTTCTGCCTGACAAATCTTCCACAACCTCCCAGATACAGCCCAGTATCTGCATTTCAGTATTGCAGAACAGGTGGGGGTTGAATCTCATTTTCATAGAGGAGGGGGGGTTATGCGCAGCCCTTAAGGAGGAATGCTGCTTCTATGTAGACAAGACAAGGGTGGCGAGGGACAACATGGCTCAACTACGTAAACGCTTAGAGAAAAGACAGTGGGACAGACTTCAGCAACAGGGATGATTTGAGTCGTGGTTCACTAAGTCTCCCTAGCTAAAAATGTTAAACTCATGGTAATTCATCAACAATATGTAACACACGGAGAAGGGGAAACAGATGGTCTCTAAGATTAGAGACCCTGGCCTAAGAGGAGTGGGGAATGAAGGGTTAAAAAGTTAAAAGCCGCTTCCCCCCCAACCTCCTCTGGTGAACTTTCCTGACCTTGTTAGATTTGCTCTGCATAGCCATTAGTCAGTAAATTACCCCAATGTGAGCGTAACCTCAGTTTCACCTAAGTGAGATAGAAGAAGTCACCATATATCTCTGCCTCCTGGACCCCTGACTCCACCATGTGTCCCTTATCGCCATTCGGCTGCATTCCTAGGTACCACTCCCTGTATTCATAAATCAACTGGTTGTAAAATCACTTAACTTGTATCAATTGTTTACTCTATACCACTGTCTGCTCTATGCAATGATTGATTTTCTTTGTTTCAATGTGTATAAAAACCCCAACCCAAGACTATTCGAGGCCGCTCGCCTGTACTGGGACGGGGGCCCGACATGTCGGAACATCAATAAACTTTACCCTTTGTTAATTACATGAGAGAAGGTCTCTTGGAGCGTTTTTGGGGTGGCAAGAGCAATTCAACTCTAATTCGACTGTAACAGCACCTAAGGCAAAAACCTGCAATCCTTACTAACTGCATAGCTGAATGGCCCGTGAGCTTCCAAGCTGTGCCTTGTTCTGAGAAGTTTCAACCTTGAGGTTTTAAAATCATATTTCAAAAAAAATTTCACATTTCATGCCTTAGAGTCATTTATTTAGGGATCAAGAAATATAAACAAATAGGATTTATGCAAGTGGTTTGTGTGGGTTTTTTTTTTTTTCATTTATTTATTTTGAAATACAGAGAGAAGGGCCGGCACTGTGGCGTAGTAGGTAAAGCCACTGCCTGCAGCGCCGGCATCCCATATGGGCACCCATTGGAGTCCCAGCTGCTCCTTTTCCTATCCAGCTCTCTGCTATGGCCTGGGAGAACAGTGAAAGATGATCCAAATCCTTGGGCCCCTGCACCCACGTGGGAGACCCAGAGGAAGCTCCTGGCTCCTGGCTTCGGATCGGCACAGCTCTGGCCATTGCAGCCAACTGGGGAGTGAACCAGCTTTTGGAAGACCTCTCTCTCTCTGCAACTGTGCCTTTCAAATAAATAAATAAATTTGAGGGAGAGAGGGCAAGGGAGACTAAATCCTAACAGCTGGGTTTAATGAGTTTATTGATAGCTTTCTACAAATGGAATTCACTTGAAGCCAATCATGTATCCTTGTATCTCTCAACAACCGGAGGGAGGAGAGAATTGGAAGCCTGGGTGCTCTTCACAGAATGTGTGCAGACTGAGATGAGCAAAAGACGCAGTAAAAGGTCAGTCTGTGCCTACTCTGTTGGTTCAGTTTTTGTTTTTGTTTTGTTTTGTTTTGGGTGGGTCTTGCTTCTGTTTTGTTATCCAACTACCTCTTCCAGCCCCATGAAATTCAACTAACTACAAAGTTTGCCCAAAAGAGGCCTCAGGAAAAAATACCAGAACTTTGCTACAGTGATCAATGCCCCTCAAGCAAGAGGCCATGGAACTACGAACGTCCCCCAAAGGCAAGTCTCTCTGGAAACCACTGCCTCTTGGAAGCACACCTTGTGGCTTCAGAACTCAATTCAACTGAACCAACTTTCTCCTTCCTCTCAAAATGCTGATCCCGGTCAAGTTTTCACCTCTAGTTCCCTCCTTTAAGTCTTCTTCGTTTGACACCATGAATTTCTTCCACCACACAACTTAGGAACATGTTCACCAGCAGAGAAAGGGCTAACTGTGCACAAAGAATGTGCTAGTAATTCGGTAACTTTACAGCTCTGAGTACCTGGATCTGCAGGAAAACCAGCTCTCAGCCTGCAGCAGCCCTACAGCCCTGCAGCCTCCCGTTTTTTTACGGTCAGGTTCAGTGCTCCTGGCTGGGTCCGTGGCACTGCCTGCACTGTCGGGCTCAACAACTTAAGGACTTCCAGCTGAGAACTCAAAACAGAGCCCCTTTCATCCATCCACTTGTTTATTGTGGTTGCTGCCTTCCGTGCAAGGCAAAGCCCCAGTGTCTCCCAGAATCACAGCCTGAGAGAGGCTTGGGGTTCCTATGGCACTCCCCAGGCTCTCACTGGTCACATCTCCCAGACGGAAGCCACGTCCAGAATGCTGTTCGGCAATGGCTGACCATAATTAACTCAGAAAGGCAATGGCTGACCATAATTAACTCAGAAAGGAAACACCTGGGGAGATGTAGCCCTCCTGTGGGACAGCTCCTCTGCCCTCTGCATAATCAAGGGATGTTAACCACACCACGAACGCAGCCTGGGGCAAGGGATTAAGTGATCTCCCTGGGATTGAAGGATACAGAGAACCCAGAGAGACCCAGAAATACATATATATATATACACATATATATACACACATATATATACATATATATACACATATATATCTATGTATGTATATACACACACATATATATGGATTAAGAACAAACACAAGGTGGGGGGTGCCTTTTATTATTAACTACATGTTTGTTATTACATTAATTACTCTCTGTGTCTCTGTGGTTCCTGTTTGGAAACGGTAAATGACAGGAAAGTCTTCATACTAAGAGCCCAGTTGATGAGTTCAAATTTAAATGCTAATTGGGTGCCAGAAAGTTACCAGCTAGGTCCTTAGTGACTCAAAGTTGAGATCTAAGTACAACTCTTAACCCTCATTCTGAATGTCAAAACCTTGCCTTGGGTGGTGCCAGCCGCCTAATTAAAGAAGCACCAAGAGAATAAAACCAATAACCTTTGTTAAATTACACCATTTTCCCAAAACTTCTCCATAACAAACTGCACAGCCAAATCCCCGGATCAAGACGGGAGAAAACATGTTCCCTAAGGCTTTCAAGGAGATACAGCAGGCCTCAAGGAAGACTTGTAAGTCAAGCCGAACCCCTCTCCGTGCCCTGCATGGTACAGGACGGAGCTGATGGTCACTCCGCGGAGCTACAGCCAGCTTCCTCCCTGGCTCTGCCCTCTCTCCAGCCCTCCAAGCAGTTCAGGATACCAGAACCTTGATGAAGGGGTGCTTCACCCCAAGGTTACAATTAGGAGGACTTCACAGTCAACATGAGGTTTCTTTTTTTTTTTTTTAAATATTTCTCCCTTTTTATTTATTCTTTACTTCTTTTTTATTATTATTTAAAAGATAGGGACATGTTGCCGTTGATTTCTCCACAATGTTGCAGTGGATTCATTTCTGAGAGGAGCAGCGTGGTGGGGGCAAGAGGCGCAGAGTCACCACACAGACCCCGGGAGTCGGGTGAAAGCAGGCTTGAGGCGAGCAGCCCGCAGACTCGTTTATTACGGTTGGAACTACATCTTAAATAGGCAAGACCAGCCAATCTGGTCAAGGGGCGGTCTATGCCCCAACCAATCACAGCCTGTTGCCAGGCAGGCTCCATTGCCAGGTGGGTTTCAAAGACATTCCTGAGTAACTGACACTCGCTTGCCAGTGGCCACCTTGGCATGGCCTTCTCATTCCACCACAGGGACATATATAAGATCTTCTATCCACTGGTTCACTCCCCAGATGCTCACATAAGCCAAGGTTGGGCCAGGCCAAAACCACAAGCCTTGAACTCAATCCAGATCTCCCACATTGGTGGCAGGGAACAATTATTTGAGCCTGGGGCTGGTGCTGTGGTGCAGCGGGTTAATGCCCTGGCCTGAAGCGCCAGCATCCCATATGGGCGCCGGTTTGAGACCTGGCTCTCCACTTCCAATCCAGCTCTCTGCTGTGGCCTGGGAAATCAGTAGAAGATGGCTCAAGTCCTTGGGCCCCTGCACCCGTATGCAAGACCTGGAAGAAGCTCCTGGCTCCTGGCTTCAAATCAGCGCAGCTCCAGCCATTGTGGCCAATTGGGGAGTGAACCATCAGATGGAAGACCTCTCTCTCTTTCTCCTCTCTCTGTGTAACTCTGACTTTCAAATAAATAAATAAATAAATCTTTAAAAGAAAAATTACTTGAGCCATCAAATTTTCTCTTTATTCACTTTTTCCAAACAGGAACTACAGAGACACAGAGAGTTATTAACATAATAACACAAAAGAAAGTCAATAATAAAATACACCACCTTCTTCTCTTCTGTTAGTTCTTAATCCCTGTATATAGTTCTGAGTACTTGAACATCTCCTAGTGTGTGCATTAACAGGAAGCTGGAGTCAAGAGCAAAGCAGACCCAGGGTTGAAACCCACGCACTCCTGTCGCTCACTCTGCAGGCTCACGGAGGAGCAGCAACAGATTTGCTGTTGTTTCTTTCCCCGGTCCTCCCCGGATTAGCTGCCGCCCCCACCCCGCCTCCACGGAGGGGCGGCACCCCCTCTGCTTCCTCCGCTTCCCCCGCTTCCGCGGAGGAGCGGCACACCGCCGGCGGCTCTCTCAGGGGTTCCTCAGATGTTCCTCATGCATGTTGTCTCTCTCCTCCTTTATAGTCCTCTTCCACCAATCCCGACTCTGCTGGCGTTCTCTCCTCACGCGCTGAGCACGCTGCTCTCCTCCAATCAGGGGCAGGTTCAGCTCCTGCAGCTTGTTAGCCGAATTGGTGAGGCAGCTGTGCAGAAGTTGTTTACTCCCTCTCAGTGCCATATGGTGGGAGATCAGATGCATAGAGTTAGTCTTAGCAGTTCCAGTAGTTTAGTCTAGTCTCAGTAATCTCAGTATTTATCCTCAGTATTTATTTGTCCACAGTCTTAGTACTTATTTGCCTCCCGGGCGACGGGCCCTGCCATGTTACGGGAGACGGGCCCTGCTCCCCACGCACTCCAATACAGAACATGGGCGTCCCGACTTGTGTCTGAGCCACTGCATGAAACACCTGCCCGAGGAGGAGGTTTCTGTAAGACACAAACAGCCAGTGCTCTGCTGTCGCTGATTACAGAGCAAAAGTCACATCCCAAAGTCCAGGAAGAATATGTTTTGCTTTTTACCAGAGACACCAGGACACAGCGACAGCCCACCACACACATACGGACATACACACACCTCAGTGCATCTCTGTGGGCCAAGGCCCACATCCACAAGGCCAAGATCCACCGGGCCATCTATTGCCTTCTATGGCTTTGTTAAAAACCAGAGATCCCCAGCAGCATGAAGACCAACCTGCCCAGTTCCCCTTGCTCACACCCCACTAGCCAGGGAGAGCAGTAGGACCCTTCCTAACAAGCAGAGGACAAAGGTCAACCCAAGACAGGCGGCCCAGCAAGGAGAGGGTGCTCAGCACCTGGATGTGGTTGCCTGTCTGCCACACACCTCGCCTGTAGTGGACTGAATAATGGCACCAAAGTTATCAGGTCTGAACCTCTGGAACCTGTGAGTGTTGCCTTATATGACAAAGACTGCTCGTATGATTGAGTTAAGGATCTTCAATGCGGAGATGATCCTGGATTAGCCATGTGGGCCCCACCACATCAGAGGGACCCTTACAAGACAGACAGAGGAAGATCAATGCATACATAAGAGGGTCATGTGACCCCAGA